GCCCTGCCCCTTGGTGACATCATCAGAACAGCCGATTTTTAGCCAATCCAATGCTTTCCCATGGGGAAAGCACTGGATTGGCTAAATTCGTCAAGAGGGTGGGGCCAAATGCCGTTTTGGCCAATCAGCACTATATGAGGAAAATTCAGTGTCCCCATGCAGAATGTGAGGAAGCTGAACAGCAGTGCTACCTACAGTGCAGCACAGAGCAAGGATGCCCCTCCAGTGGCCATCTGAGGAGTGGATACTTGGAGGTGTCCCCTTCTCTGAAAAGGCAGTGTTTGCATGAAAATGCCTGCATATAATGATTATATTCACCAGAACAACTACATTAAGCTGTAGTTGTTCTGGTGACTATAGTGTCCCTTTAACCCCTTAAGGACACATGACAAGTGTGACATGTCATGATTGCCTTTTATTCCAGACGTTTGGTCCTTAAGGGGTTAAACAATAATAACACTATTAGTTCTGTAAATAGTAGTCCGATTTATTTATGTCTCATTTCACTTGAACCTACTTTTTAATATCTTTAAATAAATATAAATGGCATTTATTTCTAAAGTCACTGCTCTTATTTTAGTATCTCCCTACCCCCCAGTTTTGTTCTTCATTAGCAACCTTTCTTAATAAATAAAAAAAAAGCCCTCTTATTAAAGTCCTATTATTAATTAGGGTGTCTCACAGACCCAGGACGTTAGAGAGAATATCACTTCATAGGCCATGAGAAAGAGAAGGAGCAGAAGGTGAATGACAACCCTCCATCATTAATTAGTAACTCAAAGTCCACCTACTAGAAGGTATGGTAATAGAGGACAACCATCCTCTGGTATAAGATTGGTACTTCCCAATGCAGTGGTATCTGGAGATTGACATTTTTATTCAATTTAATATTTAGCATACGAGATTTTTAATGTACAGTTCTTCAGGCATAATCTGTAGTGCATGACCTCAAATGTTCAACTTGAAGGATTGTCCAGTTTGTTTTCTGTGGATATCAAACTTGCAGTAATTGTTTAGCCAATTAACTGAACCCAATGTGCGCTAACTGGACTGAGTGAGCTGGTTCCAATATATGTCTTTGCAACAGACATATTGTATAGTTTTTATCGACTCACCTATTTCATCTAAGTTTGTGTGCAGCATGTCCGAACCTAAACTTTTGCGGAGAAATTAATGTTTCAAGGACATGTTGGGAAATTGCAACTCCATACCCTACATACCACATCTGCACACCAGCAAGGCTTTTTTTTATACAACAGGGGGAAAAAAGTGATTTACTTTATCTACAATCCCGTATGGTTAAAATGTACACCTATTTATCACTCAGGATATGCTTATACATATTCTTGTGGAGACCACTAACCTACCTCATTCATTATTGTATAAAAATTTCCCTCTTCTCAGCTTTGTTTTGACAATTATTTCATATAATACTGAAAGAACACAAGGAAAGCTTAAACCCTGTATGTTATGAATGAAGATCGACATACGGTTGCAACGGATCAGGAAACGCACTAAAAGAAGAGGAAAGATCAAACCCACTCCACACTGCCCCAGGGCCGGAATAACATTACTTGTCAAGGATAACAAGTGTAAGCCTTGCATTGGCAGGGTAGGTCTGGTTTGCCTGAAGTTTATAGGTAGGAGGTGTAAATGTTCTGTGTAAGAGAGGAGATGGGGGTACCCAAAGGGTACAAGCACAATTCCAGCCACACTTTGCTAAGCATGATGGGGATTGTATGTATGTATCTCATCCAGATGCCAGCAGTCCCAAATTCATTGGGACATTCCTCATTGTGGACCTCTGTCCTGCCGTCTCAGGTGTTTTCTCTGCTATACTGCTACAGCAGATTAAAGTCCACATAAGACACATAGTATACATGTCAAAAATGCACTCAGACACTATTAGAACTTCCCGGGCACAGGGCCGGATTAACATGGGGGCTGATGGAGCTGCAGCTCCAGGCCCAGGCCCAGGCCTATTTAAAAAAAAAAGTTTAGTTTTTTTTGGGGGGGAGGGAGTTGCCACCTGACTGGTATTTTACCAGCACAGCCGGTATTTGAGGCTGCTTGGCCGTGACAGTATTGCAGTAATACAAATGCAGATATTTTTCTCAGTATAAACAGAGATTACGATGCAATACCAGCACCAGCCAGTAGGGGTCACTGTGTGTGGAGAGAGGCAGGGATAGGAAGTTACAGCATATCCCTCCCTGCCTCTCTCTACTCAGTGATCTGCAGGGTAGCTGCTACAGAGCACAGAGAGCAGCTCCCAGCATGCAGAGACAGACTACAGCTCAGGGAAGTGAAGGATGGGGGGGAAGGCAGCAGGGGAACTAGGGGACACTGAGACACTTGGGGACACTAAAACACTAGGGGGCACTGTGAGACATGGGGATGCTGAGACACTGTGAGACATAGGGAAATTGGGAGACACATTGGGACATGGAGACACTAGGGACATAGTGTCTCCATGTCTCCCAGTGTCTGTGTCCCCATGTCTCCCAGTGTCCACATGTCTCCCAGTGTCCCCATGTCTTTAAGCCAATGTCCCTAGTGTCTCAGTGTCCCCATGTCTCCCACTGTCCCTAAATATCTGTCTCCCAGTGTCCATGCCTCCCAGCCAGTGTCCTTAGTGTCTCAGTGTCCCCATGTCTCCCAGCCAGTGTCCCTAGTGTCTCAGTTTCCCCATGTCTCCCAGTGTCCCCACATTTTTTGGTGTCCCCATGTCTCCCAGTGTCCCCAAGTGTCAGTGTCCCCATGCCTCCCAGCCAGTGTCCCTAGTGTCTGTGTCCCCATGTCTCTGTGTTCCTAGTGTCTGTGTCCCCATGTCTGTATCCACAAGTGCCTACAAAAACAACGTATGGAGAGATTATATAATAAAGACAATATCACACTAGGTGCTATTACTCACTGGTACTCCCTCTAGTACCCACATAAACACCCTTGAAAAAGGCAGCCAGTTAGTGCCGAAACTTTGAGGGGGTATTGTGATTCATGTTTCTGCCCGGTTAGGTTTTTGAGAACTCTGATAAATTGTTACGGTTTGATTTTTGTTGCTTGTTTGTCACTTTGTATATTTTTTGCAATATGCATATTTAACCAATTTTTGGTTTATTAAATATTTGCATATATTTCTTTTTGGTTCTGGCATGCATTCTCTTTTATATAATATTAATGTATCCACAAGTGCCCCCATGTCTCCCACTGTCCCCAAGTGTCTGTCACCATGCCGCTCAGTGTCCCCTAGTATCTTGGTTACAGGGAAAACACTGAGACATGGGGACATGGTGAGAAATGAGGACACTGGGAGACTAGGCAACATGAGGACACTGATGCCAGTCTAGCCTTCCAATTCTTTTGACAGTCATGCCACCTTTTTGGGCATGTTTGCCCCTTTTGGCAGTTCTGGTCACGTGACTCATGTCAGTGGCCCACCCTTTTACCCCACCCATTGACTTCCTGCTTCACTTGACACTGCTGTTAGGGGTTATGGATTTACTTGAAAGCATAAACTAGAGAGATTAGCATAGAGTATGTGTTTTCTTATAGCTGCATCCTTTGAGTTTCCCTCCAACACCATCTCCATCAGATACATGACACTTGGGAGGTATGATTGTGTTAGTGTTTTTGGTCGATAAGATTCTATAATTAAGCCGCATCATAATTGTCAGCACCAGACCCACTGGGCTCTTAATCTGGCCCTGCAATGCCCTGAGGTTATTAATCCTGCTACCTGTGTTTCAGCATTTGGAACTGGTGACATGTGAAGATGGTGGGGCACCCAAAACTGTTGCACCCTGCCCACTTAAACCTATGTACTCAACCCCTGACATACTCTGTTCAACACCCTAAATCTATATTTTTCTACACCTTTACTTACATTCACTATATTTCTCTTGGCTTAGGCAGTTATGCATTATGCAGTCTTTGTACAAACTCCCAAGCGATAGGAGTTAAACTAAACTCAATCTGCAACAAGAATGGTTTTCTAAACCCACTGGATTGCAAACTAAAGAGCACTTATGGTACCCAAAAAACAAACAAGATAAAAGATATCCTTAGATCAAGGTTTATAAGGCTATGACTGCACTTGATCAATGAATGGTAACTTAAAAAGGACACACCAGAAACTGCTATAATTTAACAGAATTAGTTACAGTGCTTGGAGCACCCAATCAATGGCAGCTCACACAGTGTTAAATCATAAAAAAATAAATAAAAAAAACCAAAAAAAATAAAAAATAAAAAAGTTTGCCTGAGGGTCCTTTACCATCCACAGACCAGCACCCATTGGAGGTGTCAATTAGGTAGATATTCCATACTTCCTTGCCATACCAATTCATACCATTGACAGTTGTGATGAGAGGCTAGTCAACACTCATTAGCCCAAGCAGCACAGTGTGGATGGGCTTCTGAGGTCTCATCTTGCATTGAAACAATAAAAGCAGTTTAGCTGTTAAAATAAAGATGAGTCAGGGGACTATGGACACTATAACCACTTCAATGAGATTAAACGGTCACAGTGCCTACAGTGTTCCTGACAATATACCAGACATGTAATGGAACTAAAAGTGACATTTAGGCTAAGCTAACGTATCTCATCAGGAGAGTGAACTATTTCTGCCTGTGGTATATGGGCGTGCTTTACATTTATAAACCAGCAAATGTGTCTGGAACCCCATCAGGTTTCAAAGATTAAATTCTCATAAAACCCAAGATCCTGGATCTTACATCCATTTGGTTCTGAGCGACCTACTTTTCGACCCTACCCTTACCTTTTGTGTCACTATACCTCACTCCCTTTAGAATGTAAGTTCATTGAGAAGGGCCCTCAACCCCTCTGTTTCTGTGCGTCAAACTCGTCTGGTTACAAAATACGTGTCTGTTAGTCAACCCATTGTACAGAGCTACTGAACTTGTTGTCGCTTTATAACTAATAAATAATAAAATTAAACCAATATTTAAAAAAAAAAAAAAACACAAATGCACACAAAACATAAGTAAAGATTTTTATTAAGTTATTTCAAAAAGCGGTGTTAAATTGCAAAATACGACATGGCACTTATTTACAGAATAAATAACCCACAGCATACAAAATAACTCTTTATATACATATAAAGCCATTCATATCCATATATTTATATATATTACATGGTAAGATTCAAAACTATGTTTTCCAAAAAATGCAGACGGATTATAACATTTTTTCAATAGTCTGAATAAACGACTAGAATAATTAACCTCAACATAGCAAGATAACATGACAAAAAAAACCTCAGATATTTCAAGGGATAACAGAGGGTCAAGGTAACAGCGGGTGTGGACCATGGGCACAATTTAATGAGCACATAATGTACCTACAGTACCAGATAAATAAAAACAAACAAAATGAAAAAACACAAAAAAAACACAAACAGAACATTCAGAAAAGGGAGATGTATTAATATAATCCATTATCCCTTCTCATAAAAAGACTGATTTTTTTGCAGCCCTGAACTTCCTCACACTCAAAGACAAACCACTGAAGGCTCCATTTTGTCCTTTGACACCGATCGGTAGCACATGTGACTTCCAGCTATTCAACAACATTCGGCATTACATTAGTTTCAGATATTATGCTTTATAATTACTGCCCCTTTGACAAGGGAGATATTTTACAGAATGTAATCTATTATACCTGCGTATGGCAGAGTCTCTTACTATGTCTGCCACCATTTCACTAACCTAATGTGTCACAGAACTGTACTGCATGTCGCATTGTCATGCGTTACAAAGTGGTCTATACTTCCCTCATCCAACAGAGCTTTGCTCATTTCTTTCTAGGAAGTACATCATAACAATTTGCATAGTGATACAATAGCAATCATCTGATTGGTTGGATGGCCTTCAGATCAAAGTTCCAATCTGTAACATTTTTCTGATGTGTAAAAACCAAAAAACACAAGTCCTCCCAATAACCCAGATGACTAGTTTGGTGAATACCCCTGCTTAGTGACAGGCATACCCACAACTTTCAATGGCAAACTTTGTCTACTAGGAAAGGGGAGGCCTAGTTATTGAATGATTGACCCGATTTGTGGCCAAGTTATAATTAAGCACTTCCTGTCCACATTATCTCTAATAAGAACGTTCGTGATACATTACTAAATGAAAACAGGGTTTTAGTACATAGGAAAATCTTCAGAAAACTAGCCCCTTTCTAATCTTCACATTTTGTGGATCAATAAAAGGTTTAGAGGCTGCAAAGTGTCAGTTTTATGGCCTCACTACAGATCTTTCCTATTTTCTCAAAATCCGTCTATTTAATGTATCAGGGCTTAAAAATGTCCTTCAACTCCCCTTACAAAAGGTCAAATCTGCAGTCAGCAGTCCTGATATTGTACGGTGCCTTTTCCTTCATTTTGTTTTAGCCCGTCTGCTCTTCTGTTTACTGAAATTAGAATTCTTAATAACTTTTGGCCTTAAGCTGAATACTGACAATAACCCTGGTCATGAAGACCAATAAATAAAAACACAAAGTGTAAATAAATTAAACATTTGCCCCTTTTAGAGGATTGCTAAAAATTGGGTATTGCCAACCATGCCAGTTATAGGAAGGCATTTGGCCAGAACAGAAGGGGCAATGAAAAGAACTTTGTCCATTCAGAAGTTAAAGATGTTATTTAACAATTCTAAATGCTCAGAGTTTGGAACGTCTTAATGTAACAATAAATAACACTCACTTCCTTACATCATTCATTCAACAAAGAAAAAAAAATGACTCGAGCTGCCTTTTCAAGGTGACTGGTCAAGTATTAAATCTTTAACGTCAGAAAGCCAGGCAACGCATTTTACTCAAAAGGTTAAAAAAGGCTATACAGTTTATCTACAACTAGAAAATAGCAATATGTAAACAAGTCAATGCGTTACCACCTTTCTGGCCAAGATACAGAGTGACTTCGGAATCTTATTTCCCCATTTGTTGCTGGAGCTGCCACAACACAGGTAATTCAATAGATTATGGATTACAAATAGAGATAGGATATGGGGGGGAAATAAATGAATACTAAGCAGCTCAGACTCCAGTGCTTGAGGCAGAACGTCAAATAAAAAAAAATAAAAATACAAAAGTCAGTTCACAGGTGTTTGGTCTTAATATTCCTCCAGTTTTCATAGAATTCAGATTGTAGCTTCAAGGCTGACACTGTAAAAATAAGAATTATTAAGCATGGTTTCTTTAACGGAAAGCTTATTAATAAGCATAAAAATTTTTTTTACTGGGTTTTTTGCTTTTTTTTCTAAACAAATTAATGTCTTCATATACAAGAGTCACATAAGAAGTTCCATTGGGATGCAAGTCATTGATAAATTGCCCTAATTTGATCACAGATCAGAGTATCTGCACTACATGAGACAAGACTAGAATTCCAGATTGGCTTGGGCCTATAGATCCAGATCTAAACATTTTGCCTGTATTGCCTCATCTCTGCCCAGCGTCAGACAATATTTTATTTACTTGTTAAGCAGACCAGTTTCAAGTGAGATTTTAGAAATTACTCCATTTATATCAAATTAGGAAAGGGGCATACATTTATCAACATCTTCCTATTGCCATTGTCTTATTGTATAGCAATTAAGCATAGTGCCAAAGCGGTGTGAAAGCTGTACTGTAACCTTTTAAGGGGAGCATTGATAAACTTTTGAGGAATATAGAAGTCTGATATTTTGGGAAGTTTAATTGGCCCTGTTATTCAACTGGGGGGTGAGGGGGCGGGGAAAGGACAGCATCCCATTACACTTATTTTGAATAAGAATTGTGTGACTATCTTACCGCTTGCGTGGTTTCACTTCCCAGCCATCTCGGCACTTGACAAAAATGAGTTCATTACCAGGTGTTATAAGATTCGCACTAAGGTCTTCCAGACAGAATGTAAACCTTCAGAAGAATAGAAAGATTAAGGAAAAAATTAAATATCTGAAATATTTAGTCTTTCCAAGGTGAAAATGTAACTTAGTAGAAAAAAAAAAAAAAAGTTTTAGGCTACATTATAATCTACTGAAGCCATATCCCGTAGTCACAGCCAGACAACAGAACATTCCCAGGTTCCTAAATCCAAAAACTTCTAGTTCAACACTAATGAAAAATTATCTAAAATATACAGAAAGCAAATCTACTAGTGTAAAAGTCCATGGGGGTTATTTATAAAATGCTAAGTAGGTATGATGAATTTTAGGAAGAGAAAAGAAAATCCATATAAAATGTATTCCTTCCAAATTAAATGTAGGCATCTGCCTGTACTTCCATTTTAGATAAATCACAACTTCGCACAGTAAAGACAACCAAACAGAATGGATGGACTTCGAATGGAGTCGTTTTACCTGGTTTGGAGGGGAGGTCAGAATTGTATTGTGTTTGGAACAATGCAACACACACACACACACACACACACACGCTGAAGATTTTCTTAAAACTTACTTCTGCTGGGTCTCTCCAGACTTTACTCTTATACGCCTAACATGTAATTCCTTTTCACTCAACTGCTTCTTGGACCAGTAAGATTGTAATGAACTCCAAACGGAATACCATGTCTGCTTGGTACCCTCCCATTTCAATCTTATTTTCATTAGATCACCAATATCATTCTCTGTGTAAACCAGGAATGTGTTTGTAAAATTGTATCCAATCTGTTCAGGTCTGTGTAAAACAAGAAAAAAAAAAAAAATAGAATACAGTTTAAAACCTTTGATGGGACAGTTGAAGCTTTCTCAAATAAAACCGAACTCTCAGTTGTTAAGTATCTACCAAAATATATTTTTTGAACCATCATACTTTAAAAGGCTTTGAATAAAATTCATGCATCTTGTATTTTAAGCTTAGTTTAGTAAATTTGGTTTTGTTCTAGAAATTCAGTAAGATTTGTTTCCCCAGTATCATAGGCTCTGTGCCTTTTTAATTTTTTTTTGGTTCGGTCATGGATATACGATGAGTTTCCAACAAGTACTTTGGTTTTTCTTTACAGAAGAAATCCGAGAGCAAACTGATTCAATGTTTCAATTGACTGCTCTCCCGGCAGCTTTTATAAAATTAGTCTCTCCACTAGGGGAAACATGAGATTTAATAGGTTTTATAATCGTGATGCAACTACAAGATGACCACCTCCACACCAATTGGAATATTTTAAAGTGGTAATTAGATACATTTAAATTAAATGAAGATATTCTGTTTGGTACAGGTTTTTAAAAAAAAAAAAAAAAAAATAAAAAAAAAAAATATTTTGAGGGATTGACCATTTTACTTGGCCAGAATGGTTTGTTAAATACTTATGGGAGATTAGTTTACACCCCAAAAAAGAAGTGCAATAGTCTTTGGTAACCGAGACACTGGTATTAAATGGCTCGCCAAATATTTTAGACCAATACAGTTACACATAAGTTGCTTGCATGTTAAGAGACGCACATGAAAGTTTAACAATCCATTGCATAGAGAAAGCTTTGTTAACATTCAATACTCACACTGCTAAAGGAAGTGCCTCTGAATCATTGAATGTTCCATAAAGAGTAACCGAAAACGTAGGCTCATTTTCCTCATACTCTTTGTACTTGAAAACATGCATTTTTAGCTGATAGTGGAAAACTAAAAAAAATTAATATATTAATCCACAAATGTTTATGAATTATTGGTTTTATAATACATAATTTTTTTATTTTTTGTTAATCACCAAATCACTCCAAAGCTAACCTTTGTATGGCATTTGTGCTCTGGTTTTCAGGTACATCTTGCTATTCTTTTTGCTTCGTGTCTTCTTTGCGTTGTAACCTATTGCGTTACATCTGTTTTTTCGACAGCTCAGACAGATGCCCTTCTTGAAACGTGTAGAATCGGTGCATTGAAAGGCAAAGCTCTCTTTGTCCTTGTTAATCAAGGAGTCCACAAACAGGTGCACAGACCTTTCATGCTCACACTTCACGGCATCTCCAATACCTGGAATAAAACAGAACACAAGTCAGATTAGGGACCATTCTCTACATCATTATACAGAATGTTGCCACCATCCCACCATGCATCAGACCATAGAGTGGAGAATATGAGAAACCATGTTCCACTGGCAAGGCGTCTACATATTGCCAATGGATCGATTTTTATTTTTGTGGTTTTTTTTGTTTTGTTTTAACAAATGGCTAACAAAATATTGCATGAAAAAAAGTTTAAGAATTAGGAGGTCTTAAAGGGTATGAATATAAAAATAGGGAATGGTTAATAGTAGTTAATACATCCGGGAATATTAACAGTCAACGTTCAGCAACTTACTTCCATAGGCAATGGCTCCAATAACATCACTTAAGCCACAGCCAGGTTGAAAGTCCCCACCATTAGGATATACATCAATGTGTCCAATTGGCATCTGGATCCCAATGCTGACCCCTAGCGCCTCTCTAGTATAGGTATGGAGAACATCTACGAAATGTGCATCATCGGGTGAGAGACGTTTGTGAGCTTCTACTCCTTCAAACATGGGTCCTGCTGGATCCAGGCCTAAATACAGCAAGAAATAATTATATTGCAAGATAATTGTGTGTCACACATTACCATCTGTTTTGTAATTATGCACTTTTTCTAACGGTTCTTTCACAGTTACTGGTGTCTACCAGAAGGAATGCTTGACACCAAACAGATTTAGCAGAAATGTCCAACTAAAGCCAAATTCGGGGAGGAATAAGTCTTCCGAGTTGACACCTCAACTCTAGATTAATATTTGTTAAATCATAACCAATATGAAAATGTAGACACACCTATGTACTAGGTTTCACAGAAAACTAGATATACAACTATGCAACTGCTAAAAGCACTTTTAAAAATTATTTCAGTTAACTACTGATTGCCAAAGGGCAGAGCAGGAAGTGAGAAAGTCACACTGATCGGTCTGTCAAGTCTTAAAAAAAAAAAAAAAAAAAAATCTTAAAAATCACTATGGATAGCATACATAATGCAAAGTCCATTCAACAAATAAGGCCTTGCGTAAAGCGGTGGTATTAAAATATTCAAAGCTGACCTGTAATCCGTCCAATTGTACCATTGACGTAATTTCCAGCATACCCAGCGACATGAGCCCCAAGACTGTAGCCAATAAGATGAACATTGTCAAGGGAGAGATTTGCCTTCTCCTGCAGAGAAGAAAAAGATAAATTGAAGAATATATGATTCAGTAGAGTTTTGGAAGCAATACGGTTCGAATACAGGATTTTGTTTGAAAACTGAAGCTACATTATTTTACCATTTACAGCAGTACTGTTAAAAAAAAAAAAATCTAAATCTCCAAGAAGGATTGCAAAATTTGCCTAAAAACATTGCTACATGATTTCTATTTTGTCATGCATGTTTTATTACTAAAGACAAAGGCAACTTGGCCTTAGCTGGGGCAGAAATCTCTATAGAGTACATGGCAAAACACGTTAAGATAAGAAGAGACAAACAGAAAGCTTAGAATAAAGTATTGTCCGAAACATTACCTGCAGCCAGTCTAGTAGTATAGCTATGTCCTTGCCAACCAACTTCGTGTTGTTCACTGCATCAGGGTACAGTTGATGTGCGAGAAAGATCCAGTCAACTACAATGATGTTGGCATCCTGCTCTCGCTCTTGAAGAGCGTACACCAGCTTGTGTAACCAATTCTCAAACATTCCACTCATCTACAGAGGCAAAAAGGGTATACACCAGGTCAAAACAGTAATGAACAAACAGGTTTTCAAATATTAAAAAGATGCCTCTATGGTTGCATCTTAACTTCCTCACCCACTTTATTACCACAATATAAGAATTGGATAAATAGGCATTGCCTATACACGTGATCTCCAAACATGGACCTATAATTGACAAAAGGCTATCCATCACTGGCATATAACAAGATGAATACAGATTTAGACAAAGTCTGTCCAAAAATTAATACAAAGTTGTGAACCAGGACGGTCTTTGTTGCCATAGGCCTAACCATCTGCTCCTGTACCAGTGCAAAAATATCAACATTCAGCTCAGCTTTACCTTCCTCTCCATTTACTCATGTGTGAGTCAAGATGAAAGGAACACATGTTATATTTTGGAAGAAATGTCAAGATGCTCAGCATACATTGCACAACAAAGCTCCTCTATAACCGACCACAACCAAAAATCTGCAAAACACCTGGTAACCCAGACGGGAAAAAGCCACATAATGTGAGAAATTCATCAAATATCGCCTACGATACTTACAGTCCACCCGTGAATGACAATGAAGGTTTTCCCAGTTGTGTTGTAATTGCAGTTTTGAAGACAGTTGTCCTGGCCAGGGTGGAGATAACAACCTTCATCAGGGTTAGACGTGAAGTTGACATTGAAACGAACATTAATTTTTTTTGTCTGTATAACATCGTTCTCCTCCTTCAACAAATTTGCAATCGTGTCCTCTAAAAATAAAGAGATCCATTCAGGGTTACTCACATGGAACAATTCAAAACAGGTATTCTCTTCCGCAAACTACTGAAATTACAGCTTTTACTTCCTACACCTGAAAGTGGAGTAATTCACTAAAATACAAAACAGTCAGGAACCGAATCTCCTACTCAGTTGTGGGTTTAGGTTTTTTTGGTTTGTTTTTTTAATTTCTGGCAATTCACACCTTAGTGAACAACAATTAAAAAATGCGGTTAAGAAGATCAAGGATGTTAGAGTGAGATACATAGTATAACAGCTGTAAAACCAAGATTTTAGCTGAAAACTTAATTCATAAATGCTCTACCCTGTTCTCTGGTTATACCCACACTTTCCCATTTAAGGGCAAAGACGGAAACTTCAGAACCCAACGTGTGATACTGCCACTAGCTCAACCAGTTCCGCAGCATTTTTTCTTCTTAATTGATACAATACTAGATTTTACAAGACCTGTCTACAGTCCTTGTGCCAGGCAAATGCTTAGACTGGTGTACACCAACCATGAGAATACTGGTTAGTCAAACATTCGACTACAGGGGCCATAAAACTGCATGATGATATTCACACCAGAAAATAAATTAGCAGATAGCTATGAGTCAACCCAATGCCCACTGATGGAAATAAAAATAAAATAAATTATTTTCTAATGCAGACACTAAAAAAACTGCTAAATTACTAATTCCGTAAAAAAAAAAAAAAAAAAAAATTCTGAGAGTGGTGATATGAATGCGTAAACAAGCAGAGGAAAGTAATTTCCATTCACTTGAAAAGCATAAATGTATTTAAACGCATTCTAAATATTTGGTGTAAAACTATTATTCATAAACTGACCAAGCAAGTACCATTAAAAAAAAATAAAAATAAAAATAAAATAAAATAAAATAAAAATCGATCCTATGAGGTCTTGTACAATATGCACTATGAACAGAAAAATAAAAACGTTTTCTGTAGTCACCAATAGCTCACACTACATCCAGTTCCCCTAAAAACACTAGGATATAAAATGAATCCCTTTTCCCCCCAGAGTTGCCCTTAAATTACCCCATCGCCCAGCATTTTGCACAATGCAGATTAGAAGCGCACATTACAGGTGCCCAGTCAGAGACTGCAGGGGGCAGTTGGGGATACTCCATTGTGAACTAGAGAGACAGATGTCTCATTATACAGCTATAATTCACTGAGAAGCTTCCAACATACAAATGACACTGGGGAAAGCCTATTATAACGTGGGTGGAACACTTGCCAGGCTGTGATGTTTAATCAATGGGTGGTGTAGATGATCACGGATAGAATAGTCAAAGTTTAATGTAATTATTGGGCTGGTAGTTGGAATACAGGGGGAAAAAATGAATATTGAACTAAAGATCTTTCAGGGAGACTGGCAAAGGAAGTAGTTTAACAGGTAATTATTTACGCCATAAATTATCAGTCATAAAACATTTGTTCAGGAGTAAAAATGATTAGACAAGCGAGATATTTATATGTAAAACAGTAAAAGACAAAGTGATGTGGATGGATGCCTGTTAAACACCACACACACACACACACACGTCAGTATTCATTATACACAAAAAATAGAGCAGGATAAAAAGTGATATTTATAAATGTATCAGAACGTCAAGGGTTAAACAGTTTCGGCTGCAAGAGTTCTGAATACAACACTGATTAAGATGTGCACATCACAAAAAAACCTTAAATCAACAAGGACCATTAAGGAAGAGAAAGATCACTTTCTCTCCACGTGTACCGAATTTAATCTCCCATTCATTCTTCCATTCATTCCAGTGGCAGCACTGATTATTAAGCGCTGATTAAAAGGACCCCCCACCTCCCCAGTGAGGTAGAATCAAAGTCTCACCTTTGAGAAGTCCCTCTTCAGCAAGCAAGGAACCCCATCCAGGGGCAACTACAATCCCTAAACACATCCACAGTGCCAAAACAAATCTATTCATTGCACTTTCCACACAGCAAGGGCACTGGATCACCGCAGGGAACTTGTTCAGTCCTGTCTGTTTATTCGGCTTATCCTGTGTTCTTGAGATGGAATCCCTGAGAAATGTCACTGTGATAGTAAATGAGACGCAGCGCACGCTTGCTACAATGTTGCAATGAGCGGCTCTGAGTAGGCTCAGGTCTTTAATAAAACATTGGGCTGGGTCATGTGAGACATCAGCCGATAGTCTTAGCAGTCTAAAACCCCTCTGATTGGTCGCACCTCCCTCACGCCCATTTATATAAACTGGTTGAATGAAGGGATATACACTCCCTTTTAAAAGTATGTTTTCTCTCAGTGCTCAGCCAAGCTCAAACAATGCAGCCCAGTCTGGTGATTGGAAAATATTTGCTTTTCCACTATGCTGTTACTCATATGAGCTCCTACTCCTGTACCTAAGATCTTCCATAGCTACAGATGGCAGTAACCAGAGAACTGTAGAAGAATTCACAATGACATCAGTTGATGGATTTAGTTCCATCACAGGGTCAAAGCTGAGTTATAGAACAGCTCCCTGAGAATCCTGATGGCCCATCTCCCAATGCTTAGCTCAGTGTGTGTCCATTTAAATCTGGCAGGGTATGTTTGTATGTACACAGAACATCATCTAAGGCAGGGCTTAAAGAGGGAGATATGGGATTTGGAGGAAATAGGAGTTAATGTGAGTAAAAATTCTCTGGGGTTCATTCACTAAACGGCAAACTGTAACTAATCGAAAGCTGAGTTAGGAAAATTTAGGGAAAGATGCGCTTTTTTATTATTCACTAAACAAAACTGTAGTTATTTAAAAACGGAGTTACAAAAATTTATTGAAAAATATATATTTTTTTGAAAAATGCTCGAATTCCGCTACATTTTAAACCACAGTTTGGTTTTTAATTCTTAACAATCAACTGTTTAGTAAATAAACCCCTCTTTACTTTGCTTTGGAGATTTGTCTCCTTTGAGTTCCAAGTGTCAGCAAGGAGCTATGTCCGTGATCAGAGTTCCATATGTTTCTGTAATCTAAATTTATCCAAGCCTCTTGAATAACGTTAAGTCAGTGTGGGATCTGATAGCAGGAAAGTTAGTGATGAAGCAGAATCTATGGTTTATTCGCTAAACTCTGCAGTGTAGCGAATTGATATCAGAATGGTATAATTTAAGTTCAAACAGCCAAACTATGACAATAGCGGAGTTGAATACATTTTTCAGATCTACTATTTTAGCCTTCATTTTGCTACTCAGATCTAATTTACTACAAGTTGGAGCTTAATGAATAAACCCCGCAAATTGAATTGAGATGTGTATCAGAAGAGTGAGAAAAGGGAAACAGATAATATTAAACAATTTGGAGAAAGTATAGCACACACCCAAACAGTCTATACCGTGTACTTGTAAATATAAAACAATGTATAAGTTAGTCGCTCTTTGTTAAACTTTAATTTTATTGCATTTTTTTATGATTACTTTCTCCTCAGTTGACCACCCTTTCTGGTGTTTTCACTTAACATGCAGTCTATTATACACTAAAAATGCTGCTTTCCATGATATCTTGACAGGGTTTCTGGGAGTTGGAGTTCACATGACAGAAGGAACACGCCAGGGATCTAAGAAGTCAAAAAGGGACCATAATATGGCAATGAAAGCTCTGAAATGCATTCATACTGTAATGAAGGCAAGATGGCAGCCTTGGATCCATTGTACAGATCTGCGGAAAATGTTGGTGCTTTATAATTAATACTAATGATAATTATGTATTCTATTTACTAAAAGTCAAATGTGTAGTTGTTAAAGGATGTGGGTTAATGTAATGCTGGGCTGCGTTTGTAGGTCACCACCTTCTCACCTTTTAAGAATATACTAAACACCTATTAGGTAAAGTGCCAGGGTTTACAGATTCTGAACTAATAGCGTACTTAGACGTCAAAAACAAAGGATTCTCTGCTTGGTCGGCACTAAGTATTCACCAAGTAAAAACAACTTTCCTATCTTAATAACCCTCAATCTATCTGTACATGGGATTTCTATGATATAGCACAGAGGCCTGTCTGCCAAGCTCCTGTATATCTCTTGGAATGAGCTTGCGGCAGTATGAATTAGTAGCAGACATCCATCACATAGGATGAAATGGTAAAGGGCTCAAAAGCTCCGTACAGTGACCCAAATATTTTTGCTGCAGAGGACTAAGGGAATATTGAATACCATTCTTACCATAATTTTCATTCACTGGCTATTATCCATGGCAGCATTACATAGGAACTTACCTCTGCCTTCAACTGACAGGACAGGCAGGGCCGGCGCGTCCATAAGCCGGCACAGGCGGCCGCCTTAGGGCGCACCGGCTCTGGGGGCGCAAAATTCCAGTGACCGGCAGGAGGGAAGTGCTCCCTCCTGCCAGGTCACCTCCTGGATCCCCGGCACGGCGTGCGGCTGAACTGGATTCCGAGGTGGCGAGGGAGCTCTGATCTCTCTGATCTGCTCCCTTGCAGGCTGTTTACTGATGACGTCATATTCCGGCTCCCGCGGCATCAGTAAGCAGCCTGCGAGGGAGCAGATCAGAGAGATCAGAGCTCCCTCGTCACCTCGGAATCCAATTCATCCGCACGCCTCCCAGCAGCCCCACTGGACCACCAATGAGAGACCCACGCCAGCTCTCCAGGTAGGGAGGCTGGGTGGGAAATTTAAATTTAATTAAGATTATTAATTTCTGTGTGTGTGTGTACATGTGAGTATGTGTGTCTGTCAGTGTGTGTGTGAGTATGTGTGTCTGTCAGTGTGTGTGTGTGCATGTGAGTATGTCTGTCAGTGTGTGTGTGAGTATGTGTGTCTGTCAGTGTGTGTGTGAGTATGTGTGTCTGTCAGTGTGTGTGTGTGCATGTGAGTATGTGTGTCAGTGTGTGTGTGTGAGTATGTGTGTGTGTGTGTGTGTGTGTGTGTGTGTCTGTCAGTGTGTGTGTGTGTGTGTCTGTCAGTGTGTGCATGTGAGTACGTGTGTCTGTCAGTGTCTGTGAGTTTGTGTGTGTGTGTCAGTGTGTGTTTTTCAATGAGTCTGTCAGTGTGCGTGTGAGTGTCTGTCAATGAATGAGTGTGTCAGATAAGTGAGTCTGGCTGTCAGAGATGTCTGTGTGTTTGTCATTGAGTGTGTGTGACTGTCAGTGTTTATACACCCCTGACTGTAGCGTGGCCAAGCGGAGTGTACCGTGGTACAGGAACTTCTGTTTCCTGTACCTGGCAGAACTTACAGGAAAAGCTCACTGTACCGGGATTCGCTCCGCTCAGCCACGCTACAAAAAAAGGTAGGAGGCACACCAGGAAGGGGAGGGGACCACTATGGGGGTGGGTGGCGCACCAAGGGACAGGGAGAGGAGGGGAGAGATACCCTAAGGTACAGGAAAAGGAGGGAGGGGGGGAGAGGAACACTAAGCGACAGCCAACAGATGGGGGAGGGGAGAGGAACACTAAGGGACAGGGAAAGGAGGCGGGAAGGGAAAGGAACAGTAAGGGTCAGAGAAGGGAGGGGACCATTAAGGGACGGGGAGAGGGGCCGGATGTGAAAGAAACACACAGCGGGGCTTGAGAAGGAAAGAGACACACACAAAGGAGCTGGGAAGAATAAAAGACACAAATGGGCTGGGAGAAAAGGAGTCACACAAAGGGGCTGGGAGGAGTAAGACACAAAATGTGGGAGGATGTAAGAGTCATACAAAGAGGAGAGATAGGAGACACACAAAGGCAAAAATAGGAGATAAAATACACTAAAGGGAGTCAGATATTTAAAAGACGGGATAAGAAACACAAAAGGGAGGTTAAGAGGCACATGGGTGAAGATGTTTTTGGGGGGGCGGAAAAATGCATCTTCGCCTATGTACCCAAAATTCTTTGCACCGGCCCTGAGGACAGGAACCTAGTAAGATTTAATCCATTAATTGACTCTATAGAACACCCTCTCTACTCAGAAAGCTCAGTCACATTCCGAAGAAGTATATTGCTGCTATTGATAAAATCCAGAAGAGAGAATTTATTTGAAGTATGAAATTTTGTTAACCCTTCTCGTGGCTGACCGTGGCAGCTTCACATGTGGGTAATACTCAAACTAAATGAGAGAAGGATGACTGTCATGTCAAAAAATAGTTTTTTTAACTCAAAGATACAGAGTATGGGGGTGGAGCCTAGCATTCAGGCAGAGTGGACGTGCCAAAACCAAGCTCCTGCAATACTTACCTGATTTCGGGGAAAAACGCCTCTAAAACTGGCACAGAACCGCTCTAGAGTGGCATAGCTGAATTGGGGTCACCTGGGCACAACTTTACACACCCAAAATGCAAATCTCACCACCCGAGAACCCAAGCTGTAATGACCGAGGCCTACAGGATGGCTGGCAGGGGGGAGACAGCCACTCTCCTCTCCTCCTACCTGCTCAAAGACCACCTTGGAGGCAGCTCAAGCAACGCAAGCAGCAATCTACCCACAGGCCTCCTGCCACCCCCACGAGGGGGAAACACTCGGGGAACGTAAGCCAACGAGTGTATGGCCAGACGACGCAGGCCTACTCACCAGCCTGGGGCTGGAGGGATACCTCCGCTCACGCCCGAGTGGCATCACCTCCTCGGTACCAGCAGAAGGGTCTCAACCACCTCCCAGCAGAAGTAATAGGATGAACGGCGATTCACTACAGACTCTCCTATGACCCGCATACTCTCCCAACCGGTTCCAGGTGCAAGTGCAGCTGTCAGAGACCTTTACATACAAGTCTGATTTCATATGCCTCTGTTTACTCTCTATTAACCTCTTGAATAATCCTACATATAATCGTATATACCTACCAAAACCATGTTATTAGCTAAAGCCATACAAAAGCTTAACATGTAATGTCTCCCTAGCTCATATTCTAGCAATGGTTAACTCATGTTTACTAACTTCTTAAAAATGTGCACATACTATCTAAATGTCCTAAATGTGTTATGCATAATATGATCTATGGCTCGTCAACTGCTTTTGGGGCATGACAAGCGAATATGTAATGATATTACGCACAGCAAAAAAAAAATAGATACAGAGCATGAACTACTCAATCAGAGAAAGACTCTGGTCTATGAGCTACATTAAAATTTGTAGTATTTGATAAATGTCAAAGCTGACAATCAGTCTGTGCCCATCAAATGTCCTCAACTGACTTCTCCACCCTGGAGGCCCATCATCATGTAGATATCACTCTAGTGGCTTGATCTCAAATAGAAGTAGAATCTAAAA